TATACACCTCCTAGTCAAAGTAAACGATCAATTTTTTTTAACAACTAGTCTCCTCAAGTAAAAAACAATATGATAAAAAGTTAACTCAGCAAGATAATGAAAAATTCAAGATTCTCTTATTAAGACTAACAGTATCATGCGAATAGGCCTTCTACTGGGTCAATAAGCCAGAGGCTAAAGAGCTATTTGAATTTTTAAACTCTCACCTTAAACTTCCAGACCGTCGGGCCCTTAGCGGAAAGATTTTGGAGGCCGCTGTTGCTGAAGAGGATAATGAAATGTATGATGCATTTAGTAAAGATCAAATAGGTATTACCTTGACATTTGATGAGTGGACTAATGTAAAAAATGAACAACTATTGGGAGTAATGATTATTACTTCTGGGGGAAGACTCTATGTGTGGAAAGCAACAGATATTAGTTTAGAAAAGGAAACATATATTGAAGTTATGGATAAAACAAATGCAATGATCAATGAACTAAAAAGTATGAATACGGAAGTTTCTGCTATTGTCACAGACAGCGCTGGACCATATGCGGTGTCAAGGTATTATTTACCACAATCATAGCAAAATCTTATTAAAATAAAATTTAAATTTCTATTTTGATTTGAATTATTTTTGCATTCATAAATTTGTTAGACAAAGACTTAGACTTGTTCATAGAAACATCGTATTCTTACCATGTTATGCGTACCAGCTAAACTTGTGCGTAGGGAAATATTCAAAGAATTTACGGATCTAAAAATTACAATGGACCAAGCAATTAAATTAGCTGCTTATTTTAAAAACGCAAGAAACAAATATTTCATTGCCAAATTATGGGACTAGCAGAAAATTACTTATAAAAAATATTATGGAATAGCTGTTCCAGGAGAGACCCGCTGGAATAGCTATTATTCAGTAGTAACTAGTCTCTTACGAACTAAACAAGCATTGCAGGCAAGTAAATGATTACACTTTAAAATTCTATAAAAATCAGAAAAATCATACTTACTGTATCATCTCAAAATAACGTCTGGACGTTATTTTAAAATACATGATTTAAATAAAGCTAAGAATTAATTTAATTAAATGCAAACAATAATTGTTACTTTTTCAAAAATCCTCAATTAAATTAATTTTTAACTCTGTTTAAATTGTGCATTTCAAAATAATACCTAAGCATTATTTTGAGAAAATACCGTAATCTACAAAAAAAAATCCTAAATAAATTATAGCTGTTTTCAAAAAGGTGTGAACAACGATTTTCATATACCTGTATGGGAATCAAAAGAATCTTAAAATTCTGATTAGGAAAAATTCAAAATCCAAATAGAGCGGGTTTTTAAAACTCCAGAAATCTAGGAAATATCATCAATTTCTCTTGATATGGTGATCTACGTTCGTTCACACCTTTTTGAAAACAGCTGTAATCAAATTTTAGATTAGCAAGTCTTAAAAATTAAAATTCTCAACAAGAACAAAAATTAACTATTCGATAAATTACTTACCTAAAAAGCTTTAATTTTTATTTTAGATTCTTGCGATCAATTATGAACTACCATATGCTCAAAGTCGACAAAAAACTGGAGATGGCTCGCTTCATCGGAATATTTTTGATATTATCACTCTAGATTCGTTTTAGTCGAATTTAATGGTAATTGCAGAAATTTTATATCCATATTGCAAAATATTAAATATTTTGCAATCCGATAACGCAAGATTAATACATGTCATATATGGTCTCGCATATTTGGTTTAATTTTGGAGCAATCATACGAACCTGCAGCTTGCTGAAAAAATTTTGAATAGGTTAAACAAAAGATGGAATAATTGGAAACAACCTCTTTTAATTTTAGCTTGCTTATTGCATCCCAAATATCGAATGACTTATTTTAAGAACAAATTAATTATC